AATTGTTTCTTTGAAGATGTTTCAAGATATTTCAAGATATTTCAAGATATTTCAAGATATTTCAAGATATTTCAAGATATTTCAAGATATTTCAAGATATTTCAAGATATTTCAAGATATTTCAAGATATTTCAAGATATTTCAAGATATTTCAAGATATTTCAAGATATTTCAAGATATTTCAAGATATTTCAAGATATTTCAAGATATTTCAAGATATTTCAAGATATTTCAAGATATTTCAAGATATTTCAAGATATTTCAAGATATTTCAAGATATTTTTTGTAGGGGATCTAAACATAGATTTGTTAAAACCAAATGAGCGTATATTTATGGAATATCTAAATATCTTAAGCGAATTTGGATTTGTTTCTACTATTATTAATCCAACTAGGGCAAGAGGTAAGTCAAAGTCTTGCATAGATCATATTTTCCTAAAGTGCAAATTGGATATATTTGATAATATTGTACCGATACTAGTAAAAAACAATATTACTGATCATTACTCAACTATAGTACAGGTTATATTTAAGGAAAAGGAGATAAATCAAACAGTAAACAGATATTCCACTTTTATTAACCATAATAAAATGCATAATATTTTTAAAGACATTCCAGTGCATGAGGCAGAAGATCCCGATACAGCAACTAATAAATTCATTAAAATAATACAAAATGGTATTAATCTCTGCACAAATAGGAGACAAATAAAATGTAAAAACAATAAAATAGCACCTTGGTTAACACCTTCTTTACTTAGATCTATAAATAAGAAAAATGAATTGCATAAAAAACTAATTAAAAACCCAAATAATTTACAATTAACTGAAGAATATAAACAACATAGAAACAAAGTAAATTCCTTAAAAAAAAAAAAATGAATTACTATAAAAATAAAATTGATATAAATAAAAATAACTCTAAACAATTACGGGACGTAGTAAACGAAATAAGTGGGAAAAATAACAACTCTAAAAAAAAATTAAGTCAATAAAAAACGAATCAGGAGAGCTTCTAATAAGAACAAAAGAAATAGCAAATGAGTTTAATATCAGATTTGCCAAAGTAGGGAAAACTTTGGATGAAAACATTAAATTAGATCCTAAATATAAAGAAAAAGCAAGACGCATTCCGAACTCCTTTTTTATTTTAAATATAAAACCAAGAGAAATCAGAGGCATAATTAACAATTTAAAAGATAGTAAAGCAGTAGATTTTGACGATCTATCTATCTATATAGTTGATGCCCTTGTCACACAAGTAAAAAAAATAAAAAAAATAATGTATGCGAATATTAGTTGTGCATTCTTTTAAAACGTAACTTTCCAGATACCTACCGATATGCTTGTAAAATCGATGGCTCAAGTGGTTTATAACCACATGCAATTCCATTTTTAACCGACTCCAAAAAAGGAGGGGGTTCTCAATTCGTCGGTGTATATATATATTTTTATGTATGTTTAGCGATAATTCTTTACCACCTTATCCAATTTTTATGAATCTTTTTTATTAGTAAGGAGGTACCTCAGGGATGGTCCCATATAAATTTGGTTAAAATCTAATAATTGGGTCCATAAGAAAATTCTTAAACTCTTTCTATTTTTATGTATGTTTAGCGATAATGTTTTACCACCTCGTCCGATTTTTATGATTTTTTTTTTGCTAGTAAAGGGGAACTTTTGAAGTTCATTTTTTAACATTTTTTTAATACTTGTCACAATACAATAATATACAAATATTGTAGAAATAGTTTTGATAAATTAACTCAAATAGGGAATTATAACTGCATAAACTAAAATGCCCATCTTTATTTATCAATGGAATTATTGCGTCTTCCAAATAAAATACAGCCATCAGCTAGCCTAGCCACCCCAAGCCTGTACCTGCGAGTTTAGGAGAATACTTTTTTATTCGCAGATGCGAAACTGCAGAACGTATATTTGTTACGTAGTAGCTAACTAGAGGCAGTACCTGTCTGGTAACTTTATTTTGTCTCTTTTTGAGAGGAATTGTTCAGACTTCTCTTTTTTCTTGCACAGCCTTAAATATTTTATAAATTTACAATTATTATGAAAATATTTAGAGCAATTTCAAGCTCACACATTTATTTAACAATTATATAAATTGAGAATCTTAAGTCTCACCCCCCCTAACTAACTCGTTACTGGATTCTTGTTAGGAAAATCGCCGAGACAGGTCGATTTTTGTTTTCTACAATGTACATTTTTGTATGATTAGTTTACCCTTAATTTCATCCCTTACTCGAGGGGAGCAACCCTTTCGAAAAATTTAAATGGCATGGGGTGGTGAGTGATAGCTCATTTGAAAGAGGGTTTTATTATCTATTCAACCATGTAAAAAATTTTGAAATTTGCTTCATTAATTCTCGACTAATTTTTGTTTCAGAATAACGGAAATTAACGTAGCACACTCATCCTTAGAATTAAAATTCGGCCCTGCATGATTTCGGTTTTGGTTCAGACGTGAAATAAGACTTTTTCTACGAACTCTTACAAAAACACATCTTTCGCCACAGGATACTTTCAGCGAAAACTTGATTTCCGTCACTAGTGAGAAAAAATTCCATGTTTACTTTCGTCTCTAGTGACGAAAGTTGTTACATATTTTCATATATCAGTCGCCTCGTATAATATTTTGGCAGCTTATAATTATTAATAATGAAATAAAAAGATGCTCATTAAATTCTATATGCGTTTTTACCAAAACTTTAATGAATTAAAGATAAAATAAAAATGTATAAAAATAGTGCAAATTAAACCAATCTACATCTAGTTTCCTGGTTTTCATTTGTTTATTTGAAGTTTTATCACTTTTGAGAACTGTCAGTTTCAGTTCGTCCTAAATTTAACACATTTTCATGATGTCTGAGTCAGAAAGCGATTGTACTCCCCCAGAAATTATTTTTAAAGCTGAAGAAACCTCTTCAGATTTATTACCGGCCAAATCAAAAAAGAGATATGAAGAAATTTATATCAAATTTTTGGACTGGAGAGAAAAAAATAAAGTGAAATCATTTTCGGAAACTGTACTACTAGCATACTTTGGAGAAATATGTTCAAATTTTAAACCGTCGACGTTATGGTCCATTTATTCGATGCTAAGAACTACACTCTCTGTTAAAAATGATGTCGATATTAGTAAATATCCAAAGTTACAGTCGCTTTTGAAAAGAAAATCTGATGGTTTTAAAAGCCAAAAATCCAAAATTTTTTCGCCTGAAGACATAAAGACTTTCCTAAAGAATGCACCTGACTATAAATATTTAATAACAAAGGTAACGGAATTATTATTTTTATTTTAACAAATACTTAATACATAACTACTAATATTTGTAGGTAGCATTAGTTTTTGGATTATCTGGCGCTTGTCGTTGCCACGAACTAAAACATTTAATAATAAGCGATGTAAAGGATACTGGAAGTATTCTGTTAGTTAAAATCCGTAATACAAAAACAAAAGTTCCGCGTTCTTTTCATATTTCTGGACCCTTCTATGATATTTCTAAAAAATATATGAGCCTACGTCCCGCAAACATGGATCAAATTAATTCAAGATTCTTTATTAACTATCAGAATGGAAAGTGTAGCAGACAGGTTGTTGGAATTAATAAAATCAGTAAATTTCCTAACGAAATTGCTCAGTTTTTAACGCTTCCGAATCCTCAAGATTACACTGGGCACTGTTTCCGCAGAACATCCGCAACGCTATTAGTGGATGCAGAAGGTGACTTGCTTCTGTTAAAAAAGCACGGTGGTTGGAAATCTAGTAGTGTTGCGGAAGGATATGTTGATGAATCCACGAACAGTAAAAACCAAATACAAACCAAAATTTTACAATATGTACAAAATAAGGAAACTACTAGTTCATCCGATTATGGCGCATCATCATCATCTGAAATCACATTTAACAGTAGAACAAATATGTCGGCATCTACCTCAATAAATAAAAAGCTTGAGTGTGATACCCCCATAATTTTGAACAATTGTTCAAATATAACAATAAATCAATATTTAAATAATAAATAATATTTCTGAAATATTTAATTGTTGGTTAATTTTTTGTTATTCCTAACACAAAATAATGCATTTGCTAACGTTTGTTTTTTTTTCATTTTAGTAGGTACCTACATGACATAATAGAGTTCGTAGAAAAAGTATAGTGTTTTACTCGTCGAAAATCATTTTTTCGTCACTCGTGAAACAATATACTATTTTGCCATTAGAAGGTCACTATTAGTTTAGTTGCTTTCCTATTTTGTGAGATTTTGTTATTTTTAAACATTAATAAATCAACACGTAATGAAGCAACTTTAAAATTTTTTGCACGGTTGAATAGAGAATAAAACCCTCTTTCAAATGAGCTATCACTCACCACCCCATGCCATTTAAAATTTTCTAAAGGGTTGTTCCCCTCGAGTAAGGGATGAAATTAAGGGTAAATTAATCATAAAAAAATGTACATTGTAGAAAACAAAAATCGACATGTCTCGGCGATTTTCCTAACAAGACTCCAGTAACGAGTTATTTAGTAAGACTTAAGATTCTCACTGTATTACATTAAGAGTGAAGAAAGTGATATTTTTCACACGAATGTGTAAAATTACTTTTGTACTATATTTTTTTGTACGACCACAAAATAATTAAAAAAAAAAAACAAAATATAAAACCAGGAAATGCGGCTGTGGAGTTTCATACAAGATTTCTGGGTTTGTTTTTTAGATACCTAATTGGTTTTGAATAATTTTTAAAATACTTTCTGTTGGTTTTTTGTCTAAATTAAAAACATTGTCATTCCATTTACAAACACTTTCATAGGATGATAAAGGTTCAAAAAATATTAAAATACAATAATATTTGAATGAACAACTATTGTGAACAAGAACTTGTTTATTATTAAAGATGATACCTAGTTACCTACTTACTATTTTTTCTGAACCTTGCTTAAAAATAATACAAAATAACGAAATGATTAACGGATTGCCTAACTGTATGGGTTATATTACAAAAAATAAAAGATTAATATTAAATAAAATAATAATAAATATATTAAAATAAAAAATAAATAAAATATTGCTTTTATCAGGAATTGATCTCGTGCAATTCAAAGTTAAACGTTCGAAGATCTGAGCCATAAAGGCTTATATCAAATGCATTATCTAACCAAAAATATGTAGTAACCAGAAAAAAATAATCTAGTTACTTTTAATTTATTGTAATAATAGTTAAAAATAAATATTTAGTATACAAAAATTATGCACTTGACATATTTGACAGCTGGTTCAAATTCATTGTGAACGAAATATGTGACAATAAGAAAAATATTTGCAACTACTTTGTTATATATTGTGATATAAGTATTTAAATAATAAACAATAAATTTAGGATGGATATATACTATTAATCCAGTCATTGGAGGGTATGGAAGAAGGGAAAATGCTTTTATTTAGTGTTTAGTTAGAAGATAAAAATACTAAAAGTCGCCGAACCAAGATACTAGGCTAAGAGAAGGAGGGAAAGTGTCCTATATATAGTTAAAAAAAACTTTTGTTCCAAAAAATTCAAAATAACAATGTCCATTAGAGATTGGACTCCATAGACTTCAAATTAAGTCTGCGTCAACAAAAAATCTAGTCATTGTTCAAAATTTCGTAAGGGGTTGCAGGAATACTGATACAAATCAGAATGGTAGAAGACTTACAGTCAAACCAAAAGAGAATGTTCAGACTTGAATTCAGCACACTCAGAAAAGTTATACAGGATAAGTTATAACTATTGGGATATATAGAGTATACGCAGGTTGTTTGAACCAAAATATGAGGATTATGCTTTTACTTAAGTGACTTGTTTTACTTTAATTACAGCAAAAAAAGATAATGAATGCACATATAGATGATTCAAGAAGGTTAGGTCAAAATAGAGCCGAAATAAACATAATTAAAGTGTGTAATTCAAATAAGGATCTTTGTATCCTTACTTAGTGCAATAATATTAGTTCCCACAATCCCAAGCAGTACACTCCCAGTGTAATTAATTAATATTATGTTACTGAATCAAAATTACAAAAAATTTCGTAAAAAACATAAGACCTAATTTCATAATCAGAAATCGCATATATGTGTCGCCTCCTGTAACAAAATGTAAACTTAAATATAAAAATATTCCTTGACCTTTCAAAAAATGAAAAGATATATTAATTTTAACGCCTTGCATCTTTTTCCATACTTCCCATGTTTTGATCCAAACAACCTGTGCTCTATATTCCAATAAGCTTTTTTCCAAATTTTTGCAAAGTTCACTACCAGTTTTTTCGAAATATAAAAGAAAAACTAAAATACGGCACCTGAGCATATTTACCTCCTAACAAGCCCCTAAAGAAAACATTCTCCAATTTTCCATTATATACCTGACTATAATTTTATTGCTTAATATTCTTATGCCACCAATCCAAATTCCCTTCCTGCTTCAGCACATCATCCTTGATAACCGTCTGGATAATCTCGAACTCCTCATCGACCTCACTCTTCGCCATTTTCCTAATATTTAATCCCTTCAGCGGCGGGAAATTCTTCTCGAACCAATTTTCATCTTTGTTATCACTCTTTTCATCAAACCGATTGGCGACATTGGACACGGCTTTCGAGAAATTCAAGTTCACTGGCGTTACTTCTTCGTGGACCATAATGGATAATTCCTGGTCGGACTTCGATAAAGAATCATTGGTTGTGGTAGAATCTGGTTCGGTTTTAGGAGACCAAGTGTATTTACTGCTTTGCTTGTTAGTCAGATCTTGAGGTTCGTTATCCAGTAAAGTAGCGTGCATACAATTATATTCAATCATGAATTGATTGGGTTGGATCACTTTGCTGTAGCTCAAATTTGGCCACTGATTATCAAATTCTTCTGAATCATCAATGATTATATATTCTTCCGTTTCGGAATTATCGAAAGATAAAGAATTAGAAGCAAAGTTCTTCAAAGATTCGCTAATAGTTGAACTCTCTTCTATGCAGTAGTTACTCCAAATATTCTGACTAGTATTGTTGTTAAAAGCGGATTGGATACTGTGAGTTTGGACACTCTTATTCTTCGTTAAAGGGCTCTTATTCTTGGAAGGAGTTGTGTTGAAGACCAGCAGCTGCGTTGGGAATTTATATACAGGCACGTTCACGTGATGATGGACGAACGTTGTCGAAGGCATTTGGTTGTAGGTTATGCACCAGATCTGGCGTTGTTCACCGTGGAAGGCGCAGAATTCTTGGGCGCGTAAATTGATCAGTTTTCTGAAGAAAGTGCCGTAATTTTCGTTGAAAAACGGGTTCGGTTGGAAGACGATAGTGAAGAGGGCTGAGTAGAATTGGTTCATCAGGAAAAACCTAAAAAAAAAATCAATTCTACAATAGTACTTCTAGAAAAATAAAAAATTAAAATTATCTTGAACCATCTATAAATTGACACATTTTAACAACTTATAACTCGAAAACGGAAAAAGATATCGAGATGCAGTTTTCACTAGACCTTTTACATTTACTTCAAGTTTTTCTTGACATTGTTGTCACATGTAATTTTTTTCTGGAAAGTGCCGAAAAAAAAAACGAACTTTTTTAAATCAGAATTGTGCGCTTATTTTAAATAGAACATCCTATAATTTTTAACATCCAGGAAAGACCATTTCTTTCCCTTTCCAAAAATGTATTCATTGTAAGCATTTATTCAATTTTTTTGGGAAAAATTTACTTTTTTATGAAACCATGTCGATAACTTCTAAACGTAAAGTATCACAATTTAAAAGCCTTTAACTCGATAATGTGACAATTTATTGATAAGAGGTTTTGACTAAAATTCTGGGAAATGTTTAATTTTTTTATAAAATGGTTGTAAAGTCTCAAATGTCTAAAATTTTCGTAAAATATTACTTTTACCAATTCAGATTAAGGGCTTATGATGAATAAAATTCTTCGAATTTGTAACGTTTATTTGCAAGCCTTAATCCATAAATCATCATTTAAAAGAATGTCTTAAGCGTTTTCAATATGTACCTATATCTGTTTTTTTTTTGTCTATTTAATATTCCTCTTTTTGTAAATTAACTTACTCAGCTTTGAATAGAATATGAATGAGTCAATAAATGATACTACTAATTTATCAAGTGTGCTTGTAAAACAAATTGAGTTGACAGAAGTCTATATTTGTATTAATTAGTGCAAGAGAAAGCAGGTATTAAAAAATGTTTACCAAAAGTGAAAAAGCCCGGTGCGTTTTACTTTATATTGAAAGTAGATCAATTACACATACACAAAGAAGATTTAGAAATATGTTTGAAAAAAATTCGCCAACCAGAAATTCTATTTTAAACTGGGTAAGGGGTCTATTCTGTAAGAATTCCTTTATATTTAACGGCCTTTAAAAATATTGGCGGCCTTTAAAAGTATATTTGTATTCGTTAATTTACTTCTGTCATTATTTAAACAGATTTCTTTAAGATAGTCCTCTAATGTATTTTAAAGATTCGTGTAAATAATGACAGAAGTAAAGAAGAAAATATTTTTAAAGGCCGTTAAATATAAAGGAATTGTTACAGAATAGACCCTTAAGTCAGTTTAAAGAAACGGGAACATTAGAAAAAAAAAAGACAAATTGAAAACGCTCAAGATATTATTTTAAATGATGTTATAGAGATAAGGGAAATTTTAGCAAGGAACAATAATAAAATATCTATTAGAAAAATTGCCCAATCCATACATATGTCAAAGCGTAAGGTGCATAAAATTTTAAAAGTAATCAAGTTTAAAGCATATAAGGTTCAGACTTTTCATAAAATTAAAAATCATGCATTTCAAAAGAGAGTTTTTATGTGTGAGACGTTAATAGATTTATTTAGACATCAACCAAATGTAAATCTAATAATGTCAGATGAAGCAACGTTTCATTTAAGTGGACGCGTAAACAAACACAATTGTAGGATTTGGGGTGACGAAAATCCTAGAGCTTTCAACGAGTTTGAAAGAGATGATCCCAAGGTAAATGTATGATGTGTTGTGTCCAAAACCAACATTTATGGACCATTTTTCCTTCAAGAGAAAACAGTATATGGAAATAATTACACGGATATGCTAGAACTATTCTTTTATCCTCAACTAGAACAAGAAGAAATACTAAATACTGTATATTTCCAGCAAGATGGTGCTCCACCGCATTACTCTCTTGTAGCCAGGAATTCTTTGAACTCAACCTTTGGAGATAAATGGATAGGTCGGGCTGGTCCCATCGAATGGGCTCCATATTCTCCGGATTTAACTATACCAGATTTTTTTATATGGGGGTATGTTAAGGAAAGATGCTACGATCCAACACCTACAAACTTAACTGAACTGAGGAATAATATAATTCATGTGTTTAATACAATTACCCCAGAAATGCTGCAAAATGCATTTACAAATTTTTTAATGCGTCTGCATACATGTATTGAACGAAATGGAGGCCATATTCAACAATTAATTTGTTAATGTTTTAGTACATATTTTTTGTATTCAATAAAAAATCAGATAGGTACCAACATGGTGGGACACCACTTACGCCATAAAAATCCGTGTGGTATGAGGTGCTCCCCTCTGTCTTTATAAGTAAAATATCATTACTTGATATTATTCTGAAATTTATACCTACCTATAAGATACTGCAATGAAAAACAGTATCTTATCAATGATCGTTCGATGTAAAACGTTAATTTATATTTCGATATGTGCCACCAAAATGTAATAGACACCGTTAACGTTGATTTAATTACGTAAAATTAAAACCTATTAAAGCAATAAAAAAATTATAAAAAATTGACTTTTTTTAAAAGGAGAAGAAATAAACTATCTAATGACTATGAAAGATACGAAATGTTTTATTCGCCATAAGATCTTAATCTGAATTTAATTTTTTTTTACGAAAACTTTACAAGTTTAAGATTTGGCAACTATGTCAGAAAAAAATTTAAACATTTCCAAGAATTTTGGTGAAAACCTTTTATCAATACATTGCCTTACTCCCAAATTATAAGTTAATTAATTGTGATACTTTACGTTTGGAAGTTATTGACATGGTTGCATAAAAAAGTGAATGTTTCCCTAAAAAATAAAGTAAATGCTTACAATGTATACATTTTTGGAAAGGGGAAGAAATGGTCTTTTCGAGGATGTTAAAAATTATAGGGTGTTCTATTTAAAATAAGCTCACAATTTTGGTTCAACAAAGTTCGTTTTTTTTTTCGGCACTTTCCAGAAAAAAAATACATGTGGCAACAATGTCAAGAAAAATTTAAAGTAAATGTAGAAGGTCTAGTGAAAACTGCATCTCGATATCTTTTTTAATTCTCGAGTTATAAGTTGTTAAAATGTGTCAATTTATATTATAAATCAGTTTTTACAAAATTGATATCAAATATTTTTAAAACTCTACACAAATTAGGTACCATCTTCATTTATTTTCAACTACTACATTTTCCAATAAGAAATTGAACATCTACACAGGACCGGGCTCATTTTATTTGATAAAGTAACAGAACAAACTAACAGAAACAAATAATTAATTTAAACTAAAGTAAATTTTCAAAATGAACACCGTAAACGTATTATCAATTCTACAATAGTACTTCTAGAAAAATAAAAAATTAAAATTATCTTGAACCTGGGGTCAAAAACTTGGTTGGTGTAATGCAAACTAACAAACTATTCTCTTTTTACTGTTGTTTAATATACACAATCATTTTATCATTTTTGGCACGATCACAATATTTCTTAAACAAAATATGTGAATGAGCGTATTCCTGAATTTACGTTCCATATACATGCATACAATATACGTCCAAATTATTCATACTTACATGAATAAAACGAAAACGCTTGTAACCCGTATTTGTCTCCGTGAATACATGAATACCGGAACGTGATTCCAAATAGTTTTAACATAAAACGGAATAGAGTGACTTGATTTGCACGTTAAATTTCTGAATGTCTTTTATAAGTAAAGAAAATGTGACCCAGGAGTCGCAGGAATTAATGCACGACTGTCTGCTATCAAAGAGAAGCACTTCTTGTACAGAACAAGGAAAATCGGAATAATAGACTTTAATTCTGTGACCTTTGCAGCAGAAATCTAAATAAATAACACTGAATGCTTGCATTTTACTGGAATTTTACTGGAATGTAAATGTTTTAGTATTTAAAATGTATATAGAGGGAGAATGAAAGAAACTCTTTGACCTTTATAGTCAATGTTTAAAATTTATAAAAGTAATATAGTCATAAATAATAAATGCGGATCCTCAACAAGCAGTTTTTTCGTTTCCTTTTCATAATTAATGTAAACCGTCAACCATTTTTCATTTTGATAGCGAGAAAAGCACTCTACAGGAAAAATTTATCATAATTATTTCGTTAAAAAACGCAACGTGTGCATTTTACCATGTTCTCTTGTTTTCCGAACAAGATTGCTGCATTAAAGTTTTTTAGTTTGGGTTGAATTTATCAAAATGCGATTAATTTGTCTTAAGAAATAAAAAAAAATGTGTGTTTTGTATTTTCAGGTTACAGGAATGGTTCAATTATTATTTGAGGGTAACTAAAGATTTTTAAAACATAATAATAAATTATTTACTGTCCAAGACAGAATCTTTATTTACAATGTAAATTAGATTACATAATGTAAATATAATACAGTAAGACATCAAAGGTATAAATGAAATCAATACCATCAATTAGCCAAAATTAAGGTCACAAAAATATATTGCATAGGAAAAAACACAAACATTATTCAATTGGTTTTTTAAATTATTGGTATCGAAAAATATGTGCGATGTGACAATTTTAAAAACTTTCAATGGGCTTCTCACAAACGACTCAAACGAGAGATGTACTTTGAACGTTGAACGTTTTTAGATTTATTTCGACTTGGTTTACTCGTTCTTCCATTTCTTTTTTCAATTCTGTAGTGTTCAATTTGTTTTGGGGTGCGATCTGTAAAAATGCTGATACAGGAGAATGTGTTTTGTATTATTAGTTTATACGCATACGTTATTCAGGGTTACCTTAATTGATTTTTGGATTGGTTTTTGTCTTATCAAACCTCCCTAATCTAGTCGAATTAGATACAGTAGTTATTTCAGGAGCGACTCTAAAACATTTTTAATTTTATTTTTATCAAAGACAATTTGATCATCCCTGGACAAATTTGTGTCATCCACCATCCCGTAAATGATGAGATTTTGTTTACGTGAGCACCTGTCTTAAAGTTTTTGGACAATAATTTCTTCAAAATCAATTGTGTTCTGATTTGAAGGTTTGGTATCTTTTAAATTATTTATCTTATTCTTTAGATCAGTGGTGGTCAACCTGTCGATCGCGAGCTACCGGTAGCTCTTACAACGATTTTAATTTAAAAAACACAAACTGCAAAAATCAGAGAAGCTTCCGAAAATTCCACAAAAAATCTAATTGTCATAATATTAAACATAAATAGCGGCAATGTTGCGGTGAGCGATCTGCCGCTGACGCCATCAAGCTAGAATCGACTAGAACCGACCAGCCGGACCAGCGCGTTAGTGTTCGAGAACGATCAGGATTGCTTTGAACTGGATAAATACGCACGGCGCGGCGACATTGCGCTTAGTTTAAAACTGAACGCGTAACCAACGTCCAGCGGTTGGGTTAGTAGAGAACAACAAAAAATAATATTATGGCAAGCAGTTGTAAAAAGGTAAAGACATACCACTTTCATTCGGAATAGGAAGAACAATACTTTTTTACAGAAGTTAAAGATAAAAATGTGTGTTTGTTATGTAATACTTCGGTCTCCGTTGCTAAAAAAGGAAATATTGAGAGACATCATAAAACTGTACATTCTAATTTTGAAAAATCATTCCCACTACATTCTGCCGCCAGAAAGGAGAAACTGAAACAGTTAAAAAACCAGTTAATTAGACAACAATCAATATTTTTAAGAACAGTCGACAAAAATAAGGCTGCAACTGAAGCATCGTACCGTGTGTCCCCTGATAATTGCACAAACAAAGAAACCTTATGAAGACGGGGAAATGATAAAACAGGCGTTTTTAGAAGCTGCTAATTCGTTATTTGCCAACTTTAGAAATAAAGACGAGATAGTTTCAGCTATAAAATCTATGCAACTTTCTGCTAATACAGTGATGAGACGTGTAGAAGTAATGAGCAATGATATTTTTTTACAGTTATGAACTGACTTAGATAACTGTGTTTATTTTTCACTTCAACTGGATGAATCAACAGATGTCGTTGATACTGCCCAGATGGTCGTGTTCGTCAGGATGGTTTTTAGTGATTTTACGATTAAAGAAGATCTTTTGAAGTTTATTCCACTGAAAGGACACACTACTGGACAGGAGTTGTTTTCTCATTTAAAAAATATTATTTCTTCCGAGAAAATTCCAATATCGAAAATGGTAGGCTTGACAACCGATGGCGCTCCAGCTATGGTGGGTTGTGATAAAGGTCTGGTGGCGTTATGTCGTAAAGATTAAACTTTTCCGCAATTTCTCTGTTACCACTGCATTATCCATCAGCAAGCATTATGTGGAAATTTCCTGAAACTAAACAACGTTATGAAACTGGTGGTAAAAATTGTGAACAAGATTAGAGCTCAAGCGTTACAAAGAAGATTATTTAAAACCTTGGCCGATGAAGTTGACGGTCAATACGAAGACCTACTCCTTCACTCTGAAGTCCGATGGTTAAGTAGAGGACGGGTGCTGAAACGTTTTAATGAATGATGTCCTATCTGGCATAGTTCAATTTTTCAAACAACGTGATGAACCGACTCCGGAACTAGAAAATTAAATCTGGCTTAGAGATTTTGGTTTACTCGTGGACATTACAGAGAAATTAAACGAACTTAATTTGTAGCTTCAGGGAAGAGACAAAGAACTAGCGGAAATGATTTCTGATATAAAGCATTTATCAGCTGGAGTTTTGGGAACAAAACCTAATTAACAGCGATGCCAAGCATTTTCCTATTCTTTCAGAAAAAATATCTCAAAATCCATTAGAACCCTATGACAGCAAATATCATGTAGAAATAGTTTCTACCCTGAAGAATAACTTCAAAAATCGTTTTAAGGATTTCAACGAAATGGCTTTAGTAGCGCAGTTTGTTGTTTCGCCCTTTATGGAAATTGATATCCAACAGTTTGCAACTTGTGTTATGCAGGACTTTGGCAAAGACATCGCTGCAACAGAAATAGAAGTAATTGAGTTTCAAAATGATTTAGCCTTAAAATCGTTAGTCTCAAGTACCAAATGTATCTGGCCTATTGTAAGTAAAGACAAATATTCAGTTCTATGCTGTGTTGCCTTGAAAGTGAAAGCATTATTTAGCTCAACCTATTTGTGTGAATCTTCTTTTTCCAATATGAAGTTTATTAAGAACAAATATCGCAATCGACTTACAGATGAACATTTGGATAATTGTATTCGAATGGCTGTATCAAATTAAACTGCAAACATTAAAAAAATTATCGATGAGTATGAGTGTTAGCCTTCTCATTGAACGTGCTTTTTTATTTTTCAATGATATGTTCATGATAGTGCGTTACTTTTTTGTTGTTATTATTAACTATTTTTAAATCTTACGTGACATGCCGTTGTGGCTAGATAAAAGTTTGTGTTTATTTTTCAAACACCTTCGTTTGGTAGTTAGTAATGTAGCTATAAACAAGTACGTACTAGTAATATTAGTTATTTTGTTATTAGTTTATTATTAGTACCTATGTATTATGTATTACCAGTTAAATAGTAAAATAAATACATATAATGATAAATTAACTGTGGATTATTTAATTTACGTTGCGTTACGTGGCTTCCGTATGGGTAGCTCGCTGTTTATTCCAAAATTAACAAAGTATTTCAACACATTGAGAGGTTGGCGACCACTGCTTTAGATTATCAAGTCGACTATTTTTATTGTATCTAAATTTTGAGTGTTTTTGGTACGAATTTGTCGAGACATAATTTTGTCATTAGAAATCGTCAAGAATTGCATACAAAGCAAAAATATTGCTTGATTCCAGACGATGATACCGCATAATATTCAAAAAAATTAATTGTATATACTATATTTGTTCTACGACCTATGAATTCATAGAGAAATATAACGGGAATACGGGCGTATAATATGTCAAATAAAATAGTAGAACGTGAAGACTACGTATTAATTGTTGGGTTCAATAGGATAAAATTGCAAAAAAAGGTTTCAAATGCATGCAGAATAAAAAATAATCCTTAATTCTCAATCTTTTAAATCTCAAACATCAACGTACCCCTATTATTATTTAATTTAACCTAATTCATATGATGTTTCAGAAGATAACGATGACAAAAATTGCTATTTTGGAGCTTATAATTTTTTATGGAGATTTATTTGTAAAAATTATAGCTACACATGATGAAATTTTCTGTACTTACATTAGTTAATTACATACCTTGAAAATATTGAAATAGGATAAGTTTTGGACGTCACGTCTTTTTGTACAGGCTTCCCTAGCTTTTCTCTTTTAATTTTTCCCTTTTCAATTTTCTTATACTGTACATTCAATATTATATTTATATGATATCCTCCGGTGCTATCTAACGGTTTAACTAGTACTTCGTAATCCTAAAAATTTAAAGTCAATATTGAATCCTCTCATGCGATTATATATATACTCGCGCATTTACAAGAGTTGTATTTACTAGATCACTTATTACGAAACGAAATATAAAACATGACATTTTTTATTTAAATTTTAAAAAATAACTATGATCTTACCTGTATTATAACAGGGCCGTACATTTTGGGATAAAAAATGGCGGCGCTAGGATCCGATTCGATCGGTTGCAAATCGATCCAGTGGCCTCCGTTCCTGATATGCCTACAAGGCACTCCAAAGCGACCGCAAACGCATAAACATTGGCCGTTGATGGTGGAGAAAAAGGGCCAGTATCCCGTGTTCAAAACGTAAGCGGTGCTGAAGACTTGCGTGAAAACGTCGAAAATCTGAAAACACAACAAATACAAGCGATAATATCTCAATGTACAGAATGAATATCAAGCCGATTTTTTTTATTACTGTGTATTTAAGTGTACCGTCAACTGGAGTGTAGTTGGACAGTGCGGAGAAAGTTGGACAATGTGTAGTATTTCTTAATCCAGCCCTGTCGTAAGGCGATGACTTGACCTTGAGACGCCAAACACGTCAAATCGTTTTTGGCATGATTTAGGGTGCATTCGGAAATGCTCTAGCTCTAGCTCTAGCTAAAAAGCTTTCGGTTTGCCGCCATTTTCAGCTAGAGCTAGAGCTAGAGCATTTCCGAATACACCCTTAGTATGGTTTATGCCGACAGGAGAGGTAGATCTACTAGCGGTAATTCATATTTTTACGTAAATATAATAGGACATTTTTTTGTGTTTTGAAATTCTGTTTTATAACTATTGTACCTGACGTATGGACAATAATAGGATAGTGATATTTGTGTTTATATTTCGTTATTATGTTAGTAACAAACCGTAAAAGTACTACCCGCATATTTATTAAATATAGTGATGCCAGTGGCGTAACATTAAAAAAAAAAATATTTTGTAGGGGCAAGTTGGACAAAATGGATCGGACTAAACGGAAATTAGGAGTGCTACCAAAGTCAAATTATTTAAAAGAAAATTTGCGCAAGGCAGATCAAAGAGGCTTAATCTTAGGAAGGCAACTGAAAAATATTCTATTCCTAAGTCTACAATTTACAATCACTTAAAGGGAATTAACTGCGAAAAAAATTATGGTGGCCAAACAGTCCTATCTGCAGCTGAGGAATCAATATTAAGCGAAGGCATTATGATATCAGCAAAATGGAATTTTCCACTTACTACCAGAGATGTTAGGCTTATTGTGAAGTCTTACTTAGATCGAACTGGGAAGACCATTAATATTTTTCATAACAACGTTCCTGGATATGAGTGGTCAAAAAATTTTCTAAACAGACAATGAATTATCTGTCACAAAATATGAAACGTGCGCGAGCAGAAGTGACATCGACTGTGATTCAAAATTATTTTAAAGAGCTTCACAATTTAATTGAAAATGTCCCTCCCGAAAATGTGGTCAACTATGACGAGACCAACTTTTCAGATGATCCGGGAAAAGTTACAGTTATTGCCAAAAGAGGAGCAAAACATTGCGACCGTATTATGGATAGTTCCAAAACTAGTATTTCTGTTATGATTGCTGCTGCAGGGTCTGGCCATGTTCTCCCGCCATATGTCGTGTATACGGCACAACATTTGTATCCAACATGGATTGAAAATGGGCCCCAAGGTGCTGTGTATAATAGAAGCAAGAGTGGCTAGTTTAACCAATTTTCTTTTGAAGATTGGTTTAATAAAATAGCCTTGCCGTATTTTTCTAAGCCCCAAGGTAAAAAAATTCTTTTAGGTGACAACCTTTTAAGCCATATCTCTGTATCAGTGATCAAGAAATGTAAGGACAATAATATTGAATTTGCACTTCTCCCACCAAATTCCACACACCTCTGCCAGACACTTGATGTCTCTTATTTTAGACCAATGAAAGAAGCGTGGCGCTCTGTTCTTAGAGAGTGGAAAACTAAGAATAGAGGCGTTTTTCCCAAAAGTGATTTCCCATCTTTGCTGTCCAAGACATTTAAAAAAATAAGTCTTCGCTCTCCGATAACGTTAAGGCTGGATTTGCAGCATGCGGAATCATACCACCCAATCCAGACAGAGTTTTGAAAAAATTATCGGACTATACACCCGTTAATGACAATACCATTGTAGAAACGAACTGGACTGACAGTTTTACTAGTTTTTTTAAAGACAATATTACTTCGACGTCTTCTACAAGAAAACCGAGGGGAAAAAAGCTTTCCATTGTACCAGGTAGGAGTGTATCATTTCCTAATAATGATGAAGATGACGAATTTGGTGAAGAAGCTTCAACATTCATTTCTGAATCAGACGAGAACGAGGACTTAGATCAAGTTCCAACAAACAATGATGCTAAATCAGAAGAGGGCGTGGACTCAGATCAAGTTTCAGTAAATAATAATGCTGAAAGTAGTGGTGATGACGAAACAGTGATGCTCTCAATAAAAATAGGGCTGTAAAACCTTCTGTTCCTAATACTGTGTTTCAAAAGAAATTTAAACTTTGTTGGAAAAATTGAAGATATCCATGGGACTTTTGTACTATAAACTTCTTAAGAAAGAAATTTTCTGAAAAGGTATGCAGGGGTAATTATTACTACTTTGTTTATCCAGATGTTCCCGATAGATCAATAGTTTACAACGAAGATATCAAGATTTTGTTAAGAAATCCCATTGACTTGAGAATAAATCGTATCCAGTTCCGAGAAGATCTCAATTATGATTTTATAGGGTAGGCGCTTCTTAGGCGCTTCAATCAAGATCTAAACTTTTTTTAAGTTCCTTTCTTTTGTAGTTTGCTCTTTGTTAGCTTGTTTTAGAGAAAAAAAAATATTTTCAAGTTTTGTTTTATTTAGAATAAAATATTTGTACTTTTAACAGCATTTTTATTTTTTTAAGTGTTTAAATTAGTGTTATATTTTTTAAAAATGCTTTTTCTTGTCCAACTCTGCTTATATAGACTTCGGTAGTTGGTTTTATGTACATTTAAAGCCAGTTCCAACTTCACCCCATTTTGCGGGGAAAGTTGGACACTCATTTTTCACAAAAAAAAAAAAAATATGTTCTTGATTTTTTTTGCAAACTATAAATAGCCCATATCGTTAGTAGTGCCCAGATCTAACTTAATGAATTTTTGGATAATTTTGGAGGTAAAATTGATTGCAGTATCTTAAAAAAACGCAAAATATTGTCCGACTTCACCCCAGTTGACGGTAATAAACATCTTTTTAAGTGACTTGTTTCAAAAATCTCAAAAATAATAAAAATACAGAATTAAAAAAATCTAAATTCAGGGCATGATTATGTTTGTATCTTTTTTACTTTTTTTTCCTGTTTTTCTTGTGAATTGCGTTTTAATGTGTACCGGATATTGTAATTCAGTGACGCGATATTTCATTAGCGTATTTATCTGAAGTACTGAATACTGGATTCAATATAAAATAGAATTCCCGTCATTGATAAAGTCATTGCAGGCATTGGTACTACACTCACATTCCATTTAAATTAATAAAATGTTATTTTAAAACTTATTTGCAGGATTTTTTTGATCTACAACTTTTAATTTTCAAGTAAAAACTGATTTTTGATAACTTTAATACCCTCTATCTTTGTTGAGACGAACACAAGTTCGGCCTCGGACAGAATTTCTTACAAATTTTGAACTTTACATTTTTTGTTTTTACACTTTTCAATCAATAGGAATTCAAATAAAACCATCACTTTTTTTTTATAGATGGTGGAGATTTTACGTTTTTGATCTTATGGAGGTAAATAGGCTTAATAATATTGTAATATATGGTGTAGAAGAAGATAACGAAAGCCAAAAAAATATTTTAAATATATTTAAAAAAAAAATCATTTATAAAGTGCTTAGTCTATTTTTATGTATGAGAGAGTAATAAAACAGCATTTCTAATGCAAAACTTAGTACGGTCATTTTAAATATTTTTACAGAATAATCTAGATATTTCCTAAAATTGTAATAAATGTACCTGAGCTATTACAAGTTTTGGATCTTTTATTGGTCCTTTATAAACATAAGCTGTACAGAACAATAAAAAAAGGTTTGGACAGGCCAAAAGCCCTGTGTATTAAAGATTACATAGCCGTATCTTAAGATTATTTTCAATAAGTACCTATTTGCCAATTTTGTTTTATTTTAATTCCAAGAATTTTTTACAGTAATCGAATTATAAGTAGATAAATACCTTCCCAACAAATTTCACCGAAAATGCGATTTTTAGGTTTTCCATTTAGTAAGGAGGTCCAAGTTGTGTATTCTTGACAGTTTACTAAATGTCGTTTAGTTGCAACTTGCAAGGTGCAGTGTGAATTCTAGTGTGATCATGGAAAATTTGGAAGGGCCGCGTAAACGACAAAAAATCGATCCTTTAACAGTTAATGAAAAAACATTAATATTTAATTGTTTTAAATCATTTACAGACAAACATTTATGTAAAAGTGTTGATGACACAGTGAAATTAGTTAGTAGTACGCTTGGTATTGGGAATTCTACGATTTACAGAGTTGTTAAAGAAGAGAAATGTGGCGAGTTTCAAACAGTACGTAAAGCTCCAGGGAAACCAAAATTTCAATTAGAAAATCTTTTGAAAGAAAGACTTCGAAGGGAAGTGCATGCGTTCTTCTTTAGAAAAGAATTTCCGACAGTAGACAAAGTTCTTGCCACGGTTCGAGATGATAAGGATTACCCTGAAATGAGTCGAAGCACACTATGGAAACTTTTAAAAGAAATAGGTTTTCTATGGAAAAAGCATTCCAGAAAGTCTATTTTAATAGAAAGAAGCGATATTGTAGTATGGAGAAGAAATTACCTAAGGACTATAAAAGAAATGAGAAACCAAAGAAGAAATATATTTTATTTAGATGAAACATGGATCAACGAGGGACATAAACCAAATAAATTTGGCAAGATGAAACTGTTACAAGTCGAAGACAGGCTTTTTTAAATAATTTATCTACTGGTTTAAATCCACCATCAGGAAAGGGGCGCAGACTAATAATAGTACACATTGGTAGTTCAAAAGGTTTTGTTAAAGGTGGTTTATTGACTTTTGAATCTACTTGTACCGGTGACTACCATGAGGACATGAATGCTGATGTCTTTAAAGAGTGGTTCGAATAAATTATAGATCTTCTTCCTCAGAACTGTATAATAGTAATGGATAATGCAAGTTATCACTCGAAACTTATAGAAAAAATGCCCGCAACCAAGTGGTTAAAAAAAGATTTAGAGAATTGGCCAAATTCAAAGAATATTAAGTTCCATCCCGGTTCTGTGAAAAAAGTACTGTATCATTTGTGTTCCCTTCATAAGGAGAAATTTAAAAAATATGAAATTGATGAAATTGCAAAAAATCGTGGGATGACGGTGGTTAGATCACCACCATATCATTGCGAAGTAAACCCGATTGAACTGATATGGGCACAGATAAAGGGAGAAGTTTCAAGAAAAAATAATTCTTTTAAAATGAGTAATGTTAAACAGTTGTTTTTGGAGGCTGTAAATAATGTGAAGCCTGAAAACTGGGAAAAGGCAGTAAATCATACGATTAAAGAAGAAGAGAAAATGTGGAAGTTGGACAATATATTTGATGAAACGATCGAGCCACTCATTGTAAATATTGGTTGCGACAGTTCATCTTCTGATTTCGATTCTGATTTGGATTTGTAGGTAAGAAGTAGTTTTTATATTAAAATTATTATTTATGAACGTAACGTTGTTTAAAAGTTAAAGTTTAAACCCTTATACCTACATAACCCGTTTGACACAATGTTCTTAACATACATTGTGAAAAAATAAAACATTTTAGAAAAAATTGCACTTTTTTACCTTCAGCTGTTTAGAAGTTAGAAGCAGGTTAATTAGGTGAAAATATAAGTGTATACTCGAGGAATAACTTCAAAAAATATTTTAACTGTCTACTAAAAGAAGTGGTACTCTCTCATACATAAAAATAGACTATAGTATTTGGGTATGCCGGAAATTTTTACCTGATTAGGATTTGCAACTGATTACTCATTTACCTGAATTAAATTGTCCAATTGAATAAAAATAAGTTTTAAAAAAATATTTGCATTTTTACTGGACATAGTCGCTGACAGTTTTTTAATTCATTCATCAAGTACAAGTCGAAATTTTCTTATTTTTTTGGCGACATTTACAATTTCACTTTTGCTTATATTGCAAAATTTTTAGCCTTTAAAGGATAGTGTCTCCATTTTAGAAGTCCCAAGTTGTGAATGAATCAGTGTGAATCACATTGGTTCATTCAAAACTTCACATTATGTGAAGTTCTGATTTGAGGTCCCTCTTATAGTTGGAATGTTGAAAGTGCTTCGAATACATATGAAAATTTATCTGCAGGGTCACAAGCCATTGTAAGGGCAGCTCCATGTCGAATTTTCTTGGAAAGAAGGGTAGAATTGCCTATTTAACATATTATTTTTTAATAAAAAGCCCATGTATTTTAATAATTTTAATCTAGGAAACGACATGCTCCTCTGGGTCTCTGCTGGAGCCGCCCTTGGGCTACTCCTCACTTCTGACTAAGCTCTTACTGTCGAGGAAAGCAAAAAACCATAATATCGTTCTTGAATCCATTCCTTTAATTGTTACTGTTACATCCGTACCGCAATGTTTTTAATGTTTTTCACTAAAACCACTCACAGAGAACAAAGTTTACAACATAATATAGTACAAATATCTGCCTAATATCTTATAAATCACTATAAACGATTCACAAACTACTGCAACATGCGTCTGTCAGCAATCAAAAAATCATAGCCAGCAAGGAAGAAGTCCAAGAAAATATCAACTAAATAAAAGAAATGTAAAATCCACAAGGTTTTCAGAGAGCCAAAAATGGCACAACAGACCCAAAGCCTCTATAGAACATTTAAAAGTTCAAAGTCACTCAACATTCCTCATAATTAGAAAGAGACAGAAATTGGGAACAAAAAGGATACACTGGCATGGTTGCAGAGCATGGTTACAGAGGTATACTCTGATGAGTGAACATGAATTTAGGGGGGAATGGCTATTAAGAGTTTTTTTCTAAGCGACTTGGACTTATATCATCATTGAGGGTTAACTAAGATGTTTATGGAGTGGTATGAAATTTCTGTTAAGAATTTTTATTTCTGCTAAAATTATATTGATTAAAACCCAAATGATGTCTAAATGCAAATTTGTACGACCTTCGGATGTGTTTGTTTATCCGGACTCCCAAAGATCTTCAAGTTGTGCCTATTTAACTGGGATTACAGTCGCTGGATTGCAACCTGTACATTCCATTCTTGTCTGGGATGTTGGTTTCATCTTTAGTGTTGATTAAGTGAGAATTGATTCATTTAAACGAAACTTTAATGTTATCTACGTTGTTAATAAAAAAATGTTGAAATGCTGTTGGCTAAGTGATGATCTCAGAAATATGTATGTCTGATGTTAGGATAAGTTAATTTTTTAATTTTTTTTTTTATTTAATTTTATTGATTACAATTTTTATTAGGTCTGGATCGTATCCGTTGTTAAAAGCAATTTGTTTAAGTATATAAATTAGAATACTTTTTTGTTGTGGGATTATGTAACTAGTTTCTAGATGATTCATAAAGATGTCGGTGATTAGGAGGGATAGGCCACATACCATAGCTGGACCTAGACCAAAAGCTGCTCATAAGTGATGTTAAATGTAAAAAAATTTTGTGTTAAGCGAAGGTTTAAAAATTGTAAATTGATGTTGTTAGAAACGTTTGAACTTCTCAAGACCTCCCGAACCAAAAAGCATTCTGAATTAAGTTGCAAATGAATGTTGTGATTTTTGAAACTGAAATGTCGATAAAACTTACAACTGGTCTAATTGGTATATCTGTCTTGTGGATCTTTGGAAGTCTGTACAACCGAGGCATGATGTGAGGCTTGAAATTCTCCTAAGAAATCCTTGTTTTACTTAAGTAAGGCTTTAGTTCTTATTGAAGAATGAACAAAAATTTTAAGTGTTCCTGTATAAATATAAATAATCATGAAATAAAGGAAACGACAACTAGGAGAGAAGGTCTAAGAGATAAGTCAAAGCTAAAGCAACCTGTCTGGTTTGATGCATGTGCTATGGTAGCAGAGAGCCATCCTACTGGAGTACCGGAATCATATGAGGAAGCTTTAAAGTCAGAAGACACTTTGGAATGGAAGTCTGCTATGGAGGAAGAAATTAAATCTCTTAAGGATAGTGAAACGTGGACTTTGGTTGATCTCCCTACTGGAAGAAGAACCATTTCAAGTCGCTGGGTCTTTAGAATTAAAGAAACCATTGACGGTACTATTGCAAGGTATACAGCTCGTCTAGTTGCACGGGGTTTTTAGCAGGAGCATGGTGTGGATGACATGGAAACTTTTTCACCAGTAGCAAGATTTGAGACAATAAGATGTTTCCTTGCTACCGCAGCCCTAAGAAAAATATCTATTCTTCAGTTTGATGTGAAGACAGCTTTCCTAAATGGTTTTCTTGATGATGAAATTTATATGCAACAGCCTAAAAGATATCATGATGGAAGTAACAGAGTTTGTAAGCTTTATGGTCTCAAGCAAGCTCTTTTTAAAAACTTTAGGAAGTCTTTTGTATCTAGCTGTGGTGATCAGACCTGACATAGCTTATGCTGTGAATACAGCTTTTCAAAATCTTTCACATCCTAAATATTACCACTGGTTATATGTAAAAAGAATTTTAAAGTATCTACGCGGAACAGCAGATTTAGGAATATATTTTGAGTTTGGATCAGAAAATTTAGAAGTTTTCAGTGATGCCGATTATGGTGGAGATTTCCAAACAAGAACTACATGGACACCAGTAGTTAGTGTTTCAAACTCAAGCTCAAGAGAGCAATTTCCTCGAATCACACCTGTAGTAACTTGATTTACACTGGCAAGAGAACGTATCTTTCACTTGTGACATCTGTCATATTACAACAAGTGGCACCTGTCACCGCTGTCACTCTAGCCACCCAAAACATGAGAAAAATTCGTTAGATTTAAAATTTAAATATTGGCTTTATAAATAACTCTTAATTTAAATAGAATATTCAAAAATATTTTAAAGAAAATAATAATGACTATTTAGCAAGATGGGACATTCCAACAGTTAATATTCGGAATCAAGATGATCTTCAAACTTTTTGGATATTTTTGTGGTATATAATAACTGTAAACACAATTCAATTTGTAGAATGATTTGGGAAATAATCTCTTATCTCTAGGCAAGCACAAGCTTCTTGAGGTTCTATATGAACGACTAAAGATTTATAACCTAATCATTGTTTCTAACATTGGGTTCTTCTGTAAATTTGTACTTGCCTTCTATTTGTAACTTTGTTCATTGTAATCTTTTTTAAAAATAACTGTGTGACTCAATTTTTTTTGTTCACATTTTATATTTACGTATTGACACCCACAATTATTGTAGATATGTATTAACAATGGCGTTATACCGAAAGAGCTTTTTATAACAATATAACAAGCAAGGTTTTTTTCGCTAATAAGAAAAGGTTTAATTGACTGACTTTGCTTTGCGTTTTTCTTAAAACTAATGTCACTTGTCTTGAACTCTTCCTACAATCGGTGATTCAGTTGGAAAACAAATTATTTCCTTTCCAAAACGACAAATTCAATTGTTATCCAATTTACACTATTACCTTTGACGAGCTGAACTCCTCCATTTCTTTGTTACACAATATAAAGGCGACTTCGTAACTTTCCTCTACGATACGTTTGAGTCTTTCGTCGAACATCCTCGCCAAATTCGGACTCATGACGACTGCCATCCATGTAGGATCAGAAAAGAACGTATACTGTTAGTGTTATCACAGGATTTCGTCGTAATTATTATTATTGGATTAAACGCTACCTGTTTAGAAAAGTATTTCGTTTTATCAATCAGTATGTTCCACGTAATCGCTTCTGTTTATAATAAAAAGAATATTTATGGTTCTGCAGAGATATCTTAATTGAGGTGTGATTGGTTTAGTGCATAGATTGCAATTATTATTAGTATTAATGTTGATTGATTGTTGTCGAGGAAAATGAATTGTTTTAAATCATCGCTGATTTGTTTTTTATTTAATTTGTGCTATCAATTAAAAATTGCAAACATTTTACTGAAATCGGACCCAAATTAGCAAGTAAAATTAAAAAATTAATCCAATTACCCTAAGGAAGATTAATTGTAATTTTCCGAGCTTGTCCGTAGATATAATTACATTGTAGTTTCCTTGAAACCTACTCATCAGCGCGTATTTTTTCTAGAGTATTCAAAATGCCCTATATGCACTGCTCCTATCGTATACCAAAACTACATATCATTCCGTTGAAGTGCGAGTTACGAAAATCACCTTATATCTGGGAACTAAATATGTATCCACATATATTAGGGTAGGATGAGAAATAATTAAATCTACGGACAAGCTCGGAAAATTACAATTAATCTTCCTTAAGTTAAGTCGATTAATTTTTTAATTTTCCTACGATTTTTAAGGTAATCTCCTTGAAGCGAAATATATTTTATTATTTCGAGAGATTTTCTTCTTTTTTTTGCTGATCCCCTGGCTATACCATTTGACAAATTAATTCTAACGAACAACGATTTCTTCATAAAGAGTAGCATTGCAATCTGGTTGTATTTTCTATTTTTTAATAATTTACATTGAAACCCAGAAAACCAGAAGAATCATCAAGAATCGCTTGACTTTCTAATATGTTCTCTACGTCTATATTCTGCTTATTACCTCAAACAGTAGGACCAATAAAGACAAGACAATATTTTTTCGTCTTAATAAAATCGCAAATCGCTCGATTGCTTTTAAGTACCGCTCAGAACTTTAAGAGGAAAGATCCCACTGCATATAATTTTTATATAACACAAAAAAATCGCATGTAATGTTTTTTTTTATTATTTTAAAAGCATCTATTAGTCAAAGGAAATTAATAATTTTTTATTCAGAAAGGATAACACAAGTTCATCCCTGTATAAATCCATAGAAACAGAAAAATCATCAAGAATCGCTTGACTTCCTAATGATCCATATTTATGTAATAGTAAACGTCTATTCTGCGTAATTCAAAAAGTAGGAACATAAAAGACAAAATTAAATGAATATTTCGTCTCAAGTGAAATCGCTCTATTTCCTCTTAGAAAATACCACCCGGTATTTTAAAATACATTATTTTTGTATAGAATTACCGAAAAAATCACATGATTTTTTCAGTATTTAGAAGGGATAACACACGTTCTTCCCTGTATAAATGCAGATAAAAAAATAATATCATCAAGAAATGTCCGACTTCCTAATGATATATATTTATGCAAGAATAATGAAGGTCTAATCTACTTAATCCAAACAATAGGGTTAAGATAAAGTTAAATGAGTATTTCGTCTCAATGAAATTGCTTGATTTCCTCTTAGAAAATACCGTCCGGTATTTTAAAAGATATTATTTTTACATAGAATTAGTACAAACATATTTAGAAGGGATAACACACATTCTTATCTGAATAAGTCCATAAAAACAGAAAAATCGTCAAGAATCGCTCGACTTCCTAATGCTCTATATTTATACAAGAATAACGAACGTCTATTCTTTTAATTCAAAACGTAGGGTCATAAAGACAAGATTAAATGAATATTTCTTCTCAATGAAATTGCTGGATTTCCTCTTAATCCAGTGGACTTTGTTTCACGTGTAGTCCTATTATACTTTGTCCAATTGATTGTAAAATAGAGGGCTTTCGTTTAGATTTCCGTACCAAATCAGTTTTAGCCTCTCTTCTCTGTCTTCCGTAATTCTGAGGATTTAAAATTAAAACAATAGTTTAATTCCAGACTATATTCAACAAATTATTAACTACAAATGTGTACTAATTAAAAAACCTTGTAAATCTTCTGTTCTCGGGTCATCTACAGCACATTACCAGAAGAACTGTCAATCCAACTGTTGCTGAAAAAAATATAAAAACGAAAAATCACTTTTTTTGACTGTATAATTTATATAAGAAGTTTATGAAATTTATAGATCTTTTAACAAAAAAACTACAAATTAATGGATAATTCTATATTTTTATTTATTTAATTATTTATATTTTGTGTTAATCACAAGTACGGATCTAAATATTTATCCAAATCTGTAAAATAATGATATTTGTTCGGAAAAAATTAAAAAAGTTTTCGCAAGTCACCTAAAAATTCTATTCTCTATCCATGTCATATTTACGTGTCTCCATTTCTTGAAAAGGACCTGTAAAAAATTCAAAAAGCTATATTTAGACTATAAAAGACGAAGAACTTACCCTCGAGAATAGCTTTATAGCAGACTATCATTTATTCATAAAACGTAACACACTTTTTTATATACCGTACACTTTTCTACTCGAATTGCTATGGGTAAACCATATGTGTCGAAAAAAGTAGACACAAGATAAAAAGTGAGTTAAGAAAGTCAATAATATCAAAAAAGAAGTCAAATTTGAAAAGGATTATATTGCACACTCATATTAGGTTATTGATTTAAATAAATATAGTGACAGGAAGTAAAGGAAATGCAAGGAGAACTAGAACTAGAAGAAAATTTGTTTAAGTAAATACAGTTCATCAAATTTCTAGAGGTGTTCGACGCCCAGACAGAGAACGCGCTACGTGTGACTAAGATAGCTATTGTACAGTCTGTTAAACAAGTTATTTTAAATAGTTTTTAATATTTTTAGGTAATTAAATTTTAAAAGTGTGGAATAGTTTAGGGATTAAATTGGTCTGATTGGACTTTCTTAGAACGTTTTTAAAAGCAGCTAAAGATATTATGTAGAATTGAAAATAATTATTATGCCATAAAAGGTGTTTTGGAATTCCTTCAACCTTTTGAAATTGAGTCAGAAAATATAAATCTTATAGGATAGCGGAAAATACCTATAATTTTTTTGTAGGCCTTTGTAAATCGTGGAAATAGTTTATATTTTATTTCTACCTTATTAAGGAAAATGGTACCTATTATTTATAACGGTTGTTTCTGAAACATTACTAAAATTTTCGAAATTTTGTTTTTCTACAAAATAATAAACTATACTATTTAGAAAAAAATTTATTTCTCTTATAATTTTATAAAAAATAACAGGGGAATATTTACATTTCTTGATCTATAAAACAAAACGATAAATTATCTCGACGAATGACACCATGTTCTAGTACGGAAGCTAGCTTTACATTTTTGTTGGTGGTTTCATGGGTTTCATATCATTTTTTTGTAATTGTAGTTTACACGTACATATACCTCTTAACACTTGTTTGCTTTATTAAAAAAGTGTGTTGTTGTGATTTACGTCGAAATAAGTCAAAAACAACTTGAAACCCCATATAAAATCAAAAAGGAGAAACGGAAAAAATTGAGCCTGTAAATGAACACAACTCAGAAACAAAAATAGCTATCTAATAATAAAAAAATAAAATTTGATTCTTGTGCAGCTTCATCTATATCATTAACTGTTTTTGGTTTTTTAATGGTTTTTCTTGGTGATGAAAATTCCAATATCTCACGGTTATCGATTCTTTTTTTCTCTCCAGAAATGCGGACGACAGTGTTTTTAGATACTCCTGTGGCTGCAGCAACACGATCATTTACATTTTTAAATGGTATTGAAGGTGAATTAAAGTTTCCTTCTCTTCTCATAAACTCTATAACATTGGCTATTTTTTCGCGAGATTGACTGTTAATCACGCGACCTCTTAATTTGCTATTAAACTCCATACTTAGGTTCTATTAAACTGTAATGAGCAAAAAACACAAACGAAAATAAAAGAAATGTTTTAGTGAAATTTACATCTGACATTTACGTCTGAATGAAATAGTGAAATACTTGATGCGCAGAGTGTACTTTCATTGCGTAAATCCGTCGGGATGCCTGTCAGTAGTGCTTTCTCTGTCTAGCCGTCGAAAGCCTCTAGAAATTTGATGAACTGTAACACTGTTTAGTAAGCTTAGATTCAGTCCCACAAAAATTAATACAAATAATTCAGATTCGACGATCTCGAGGGTCATTTAATAGGTCTACAGCACCCTATTCACATCCTCAGTTGAGTCAGAAAAGCTTTTAAACATCAATGGTTAGAGTGCCATTTATGAGTCATTGATTGGAAAGGTCGGCAAATTGCAGATATTTTTAAGCTGTCAAAGCTTAAAAGTTATATTATTCGTTTTAATACTCATAATAATTTGACTTACGAGCTTTTATATTTTTAAAATATTTGCAATTTGCTTATTTTTATAATCAAAAACGCATAAATCATAAAAATCTACTTACGAGCTTTTGAACTTTAATTCCAAAACCCAAATTCCTGGCAAAGAGTGTATTTTTAATTATTGTAATCAATTATTGACAAATAATTGGCCTGACGACGGTTGTATGGCAAGGAATTAATAAAAAGCTAAAATAATACGGTGAGAAAATTCATTACAAAAAGTCATCCTTTAATTTAAACTTATAGGCCCAATTAAAAAACTGGCTGCATGCCACTGCTAACTATTTTGTGAAGTGAAATTTTTATATCCAAAATTGGTGTGACAGAAAAAATTTAGATGTAAACAACTTGATTGGAATAGAAGAAAGGCTAACTCTTAAGTTGTGGACTAAGTAGAGTGAGCTAGAATTTTAGACAATTCCTTGTCTAAGAGGATGCATGTCAATTGGATTAAGATATGACTCTATGAAAGCAACCATTCTCTATTTCAGTATACCAATACTGATCCACTCAGTTTGTGGATCAGGCACTAAGCAGGAGGCACTATTTAAAGCTTTCTTTTAA